TGGCAACATGGTAGAGGCACAAGTGATCCAGGCTACTTCTGTAGTACATCAAGGACAATTTCTTGACAGAAGTGCTCAACAAGCCAAGTCTGGCTATGCTAGACATGCTACTGACACATAAGGAAGGGCTGGCTGGGAACACTGACACTGGTGGCAGCCTTGGCAGCAGTGACTACAAGACAGCAAAGCTTAAGATTCTGAGGGAAGCAAGGAAGAAAGATAAACAGTCGAATTGCAACCCTGGCATTTCGGAGAGCAGACATTGTCTCCTGCATACGTTTTGTTGGCAGAATCACGTAGAAGACTGCCCTGAAGGGCCCAGGGCAGCTAGCTGATGAAGCACAAGAACAGTCCATTCTGATATGCAAGAAGTTGAGCAGACATGGGAGAAGGCCACCATGGCTGAATGGGGAACTCCTGACTGAACTCAAATCCAAAAGGTGAGTACACAGACTGTGGAAGCAGAGGTGGGCTACCCTGGAGGCATATAGAAACGCTGCCTAGGCATGCTGAAGCAGAACTAGGAAAGCCAAAGCTTAGCTGGAGTTGGAATTAGTGAGGGATGTGAAGGACACTTTCTGTATATTGACATGGAAGGAAGGCTTAAGTAAAATGTGCGCCCCACTACGTGGGGTGAGTAACCTAGTGGCAAAGGACATGGAAAAAACTGAGGTACACTCGGTGCTGCCTTTGCTTCGGGTTTTAACCGGAGACATCCGTGCTCAGATCTTTGGGCAGGGTCTGGGGAGTGAGGTACTACCCACATCAGAGGAAGCCTGAGTTAAGGACTACTTACCCTGGACCTATACCAGTCTATGGGAAAAGCTGGGCTCCATTCAAGGATGTAGGCTGGTATCATTACAAGGCTGCTATCATCCTTGAAAGATCCTGGTGAACAGGGTACAGGGTTTCTAAGGACTGGAAAAGGCAAACGCAATGCCCATTTTCAAGAAAGACCCAGGGAACTATAGGCTGCTCAGCCCAACTGCAATCCCAGGCAGATGATGGAACAAATTCTCCTAGAAGCTGTGTCCAGACAACATGGATTTACCAAGGGGAAACTACACCTGACCAACCTGCTTGCCTTCTGTGATTAAATGACTGCCTTCAGGTACTGACCAGAGAGCAGTGAATGTTGTTTGCTTTGACCTTAGCAAGGCTTTTGAAACCATCTGCTTTTGTATTCTTACAATAAATTGGAGAGATACAGATTCAAGGTGTGGACTATGAGGTGGGTGGAAAAATCACCTCGACAGCAGGGCTCGGAGGGCTGAGGTCAGCCATTTGAAGTCTGGTTGGTTGGTTGTTACTAGTAACATGCCTCAGGGGTTAATACTGAGCCAAATAATGCTGAAGGGTTTTATTACCATCCTGGATGTTGGGATGGGTTGCAGATTCATGGATAACAAATTAGGGGTAGGGAGGGGATTGATACAGTAGGGGCTGGGTTGTCCTTCAGAGGAAGCTCAACAGGCTAGAAAATTGGGCTCACAGGAACCTCATTAGGTTCATCAAAGACAAATGCAGAGTCCTACACCTCCGAGGGAGGCATAACCCCATGTCATTGAACAAGCGGGGTGCTGACTGGCAAGAAAGCAACTTTGCAGGAAAAGGGGATGGTGGACAAGCTGAATGTGAGCCAGTAAGGGACCCCTGGGGTGCTGAAAGCTAACCACAGCCTGAGCCGCAGCAGTAAGAATGTAGACAGCAGTGAGAGGGAACTGATTGTCACCCTCTGTTTTGGCACTTGTGACACTGCATCTGCAGAACTGTGTCCAGTTTGGGCCTCCACGGTACAAGATGCAGCATGCATACTGAAATGAGTCCAGTGGAGCGCTACCAAGATGATTAGTAGCTGAAGCAAATGATGTATAAGGATATTCTTAAAAAAATGTTTTGTTCAGTTTTAAGACAAGAGTGGAGAGGGGTCTGAGTGCTATCTTCAGCTACAAGGTGGGTGATTGTAGAAAAGATTAAGCCAGACTCTTCCTGGTGGTGCACAACAAAATGGCAAGAAGCAATAGACATAAGGTAGTGCAAGGAGAATTCTGATTAGACAGAAGGCAAAAATTCTTTGCAATGTAGTTGAGCACTGGAATAGGAACCAAGCAATGTTGTGGAATCTCCATCTTGGAGACAATAAAAACTGGGCTGGGCAAGGCTATGAACAACCTGATCTCAACTTCGAAATTAGCCCAGTTTGAGGAGGGAGGGGGCTTGACCACATGATCTCCAGAAGTCCATTCCAACCTAAATTATTCTGTCATTCTATACAGTAAAAACAAAAAAAACAAAACGAAACAAACAAAAAAAATGGTTCTGGCTGCTGAGATAATTAATACCCAGAAACTTAATATTTCTGCTGTTAAGCACTTTCCCTTATAAATGTATAGTGTAAAATTCCCTGGCAAGGAACTCGCCTGTATCTTGGAAGTCCTTGAAGATACACAATGGAAGGGTGCAGTGGAGCTCTTCCACAGCAGTTACAGAAACAGCAGGACCCAATCCTTACAGCCCTACCCTATGCTCCCTAACACCGAGTGCTCTCTAATGTCCATGTTGAGAAGGAGCAGAGGCGGGTAAAGCATTAAAGGAGCTGCTACTCACCATGTTCACTGTAAGCATATGGCAGACCTAGGCATCTTTCCCAGCCCTTATTGCTCCTGTCTCTTCCCACAGGCCGAGACTTCAGTCTTCTAACACTCCCATTTGGAAGAACATGTCCATCTGCCTGTTTTCTTCAGCAAGACAAGTGCTTGTTCTGCAACCAGAACATATCTGACCTGCAGTCCCTGTTCCTCTTCATGACAACCCTTAAGACTCCTGGTAGTGTATTTAGTCCTATGTAATTAGATAAAAGGCTTAAGTTACTAACGATATTCTGCAAAAGGCTCAGCTTCTGTCACAACAGGTATTAAGTCTTTCAACCAAATTCAATTTATATAACCTAACCACTTTAAACACAGGAAAACAGATTTGATTCTTTAGTTCTTGATTAAAACTCAATTAGCAGTATCTCTATAACAGAACCATAAAACTTTGAGATGTTTGGCAAATCCTTTCTCAGTCACCAGAAGTTCAGCTTCTCTTAAAATAGTCCATGTGAGCTTCTCACAAATTGTCCTAAACTATCATCCTTTTAGGGCTTGTATATATATAGCTGCTACTATCATCATATGAACTGAGGATAATAATTATTTAAATAATAAATACATGTTTCATTATCAGAAATTTTTTTCAAGGAAATAAATAGTACTTTCTTAACAGTGAAATAGAATTTTTTTTTTTTTAATTATTCCTGGTTGTAAATCAAATCTGGATTTGCTCTGCTTAGTGATGTTTTTGAACCATTCCTCAGAGAAACACACTTCAATCTGTAATTCCTGTGTTTATTGTTAAAATGTCAGCCTTCAACATACATTTTTCATACTGGTTATCTTTGTTGACCACTAAAGGAGAAAATTCGTTTGCCAAATGCTGTTTTCTCTGTCCCAGCCACTGACTGACTGACCTACTTTTCTCTCCAGTCTTTCACTTGCTCCTTCCTTTCCTGTCAATCTTCCTATCCTTAGGTTCTCATTTTCACAAAAATATTTTCCATGTCTTTATTTCTCCACTGCTGGCCAGCGCAGTCTCCTGTTTGTACTTCTCCACGCTTCAAGCTACACTTTCTCCTATCATTCCTTTTTAGTAAAAAAAAAATTCAGTAGTACTTTTTGCAAAGTCTGTTGAAAGGCTTGGAAAAGTCAAATGCGGGAATGGGTTCAGTAACTATGAATTGTATTCATTAGGAAAAGGTGGTTTCCATCACTGCCAGGTAGCTGTCAAGGGAGGTAACTGTTACAAACCTACAACTCCTCTAGCCCTTATTAAGACTTGAAGCAGGTAGCACGATCAGTGTAAAAATGCTAAAGAATACAGGCAGAGCATGGCTGTACAATATCATCTCTGCCGTTTTGGATGCTGCATTTTTCCCACTCTTTCTCTAAGAAAAAAAGGTGAATTCTATTAATGTCTTGTGATATTTTAGTTTTGGCAAATAGTTAAATATATATAGTGCTAGACTTTTCCCAGGAATACCATTTTTCTTTTACTATATGCTCATTTATCATTGTCTGTTTTTATTTGGTGGCAGATGGTTATGTCGTTGTAATTTGCTTGAATTTTTTTTTAGTGGGACACTTGCTTATCTTTCTCCTACTCACATTGGGTAGTACAATAAAAAGGTTCTTTGTTTGCACAGGCTACGCTGCAAACCTCAGTAATGATTTAAAAACGTAGCCTTTCTTACTCTTAGCTGCTCATCATCGATTTTGCTTGTCGTACCATCATGGAGCACACATGACCACGTTCCACTAGGTGGCAGCTGACCGTTTTGCTGTCCTCCCGCGTTTACGAGGGTTAGCCAAGGCCACCTTTAGCGAGGGAGTCCAGTCCAGGTAGTGGACGGTATATGGGGAAGAGCAAAAGGTGTAGACCGCATTACCGCATGTGGAAGGAAACGCGGCTGACATTGAGAAGACTTGCATAAATCTTAAAAACAACAGCGTGTCAAAACCAATTTGCTTTCCCCATGAAGTAATGCAACCGCCGTACACACTAGTAACTTGGCTGGAAGCGATGATTCTCTGTTCCAGTGCTAACGTGATGACATCTAGGCAAATTGATTTTTGCTTCCCACTTCCTACCCATCGAAGCAGGGGCTGCGCAGTCGGTCAAGTCCCAGTAATCGGATTTACTCCGCCTGGCGCCCTGAGCTGACGGAAGGGGCGCCCCGCCAGCGCTGGCGAGCAGCTGCGCCACCCGTCCCCGTCCCCGGCCGTTTCCTTGTCGCTTTTGTCCCCCTCGAGGGCTCCTCTCCTCCGCCGCCCACGAACGGCTCCCGCCGTGGCGCTTCCGGCCCGCCTCCGCTCTCCCCGCCGGCCTCACCTCACGCAGCCTCGCGGCGGGGCGGGGGCGGTTAACGGCCGGCGGCGCGCGCGGTCTCCCAGCAACGCGGGATGGCGGCGGGCGAGCAGGAGGCCCGCGACTACCTGCAGCGCCACCGCCTCCCCGAGCTGCTCCACCGCCTCGGCGCGCTGCTGCTCTACCACCGACCCGGTGCGGCACCGCGACCCGGGGCCGGGCCGGGGCAGGGCAGGGCAGGGGGCACCCCCCGCCTCAGCCCGGGGAGCTGTAGAGCCGTCACGCCTCCCCGCCCGCCACCGCGACAAGCGGGGTGGGCAGAAGGGGTTGTGCGGCCTTCGGTCGCTAGCTGAGGGCCCCGCCTCTGTGGGCAATCTTACTTTGTTGCAGAAAGACCACGCGAGTTCCTGATCCGGATGCTGGAAAGGGTGAAGGCCGGGAAGCGAGCCGAGGGGGAGTACCCGTACCTGATGGACGAGGCCAACCTGGCCGCCATGTTCGGCTTGCTGGATGTCGTAGGCCAAGGCCACATAACGCCAGCGCAGTACAGAGAAGGTGCGTCTCACCCGAACGGCGGGTCACGCTGAAGTGTTCGTCTGTGTGTGTGCGTGCTTGCACAGAATTATCAAAATAGTTTCAAAGCTACGCATATGTATGCTTGAAAAGCATCTGCCCAGCTGCCAATACACAACCCGGAACTTGGAAAGTTAAAAAAATTACATGTATCTACTTCTTATTAGACCTAGGCCAGTTTAAGATGTTAAATTAATCTTCCCAAGACTTGCATGGGACATTCTCTTTCCTTAACTTTAGCTCTTAAAACATTGGGACTGAGCACTGAGGATCTGCAGCTTGGAGATGATGTGAATATCACGCTAGATGTATTCAAGGAAGAAGTGTAAGTTTAATTGAAAGGGTTTTTTTCTTTTGGGGAGGGGGGCAGATAGATACGCACAGGAGATACTATACTGAGATTTATTTTTTATTTAAAAAAGCATATAATTAAAGGACTTGCTGGTTTAAAGCTTAACCCCTTTACTTTGCATTCCAAGATTTTGAAAGGGGCTTGCTGTAACCTGAACCAAACTCGGCATTTTCCTCCACTGTCTCAGTTCCAGGATGCTCTTGAAGCAGACCTCTCAGATCACCTACCTCTCAGGTCAGACAGATGATCATCAGGTAGCCCAGGGATTCGAATACTGATCCAGAAATGTGAAATAGCAAAGCAGTGCTGGCCTCTTTGCCAGAGGTGGTACTACAGCTGTAGGTGAAACAAGCTCAGAGTTATAATAATTTCTCATAGTCAAGGTATGGTTCTAGGGGCAATTTTTTGTTAACTGTTGCAATCACTGAAAGGTAACTGGAACTAATTATCCTCATTGTTATCTAACTAGAATTCTTTTTTTTCTGTCTTAGGAAGAAAAAGATGCTGGAGAGCTGGGCTGTGTACTAGTTTGAGCAGCGGTCTGCTATATATATTAAAAATAGGCACCTTGCTCAATGCTTCTGGTTTGTCAGCTGTGGACAGCTGATTTTAAGCAGTACTCTTTTTCTCATTCCCCTCCCTGCCCTATTTGAGCAATCAATCAGCTAGAAAATGACAAGAACTTGTTCATGTTTACCAGGCACTGGAGGTCTATCTTTTGAGAACTGCTTTTCTTAATACAATTAGATGGTTAAAAAAAGGTAGAGATCTCTTACGCAACTAAAACAGTGATTTGGAGTCCCCTCCTTCATTTTGTAGCTTACAGTAAGGGGTTGTTACCTGTTGGCTCATTACCATTGAATAAAATTAAGAGTTAAGCTGTTTCCTAACTTGGTTTTTGGGCTTGTTTTTTTTAAAGGAAATGTCCACAGTTGAAGAAAGGTAGCAATTTCAAGTAAAATGCTATTTTCAAACTTTTAACACAGTATTTATGCAATTTTTAAGGAGAAACTTTAAAAAAAAAAAAAATAGGAGAGACTCTGGTACAGCAAAGAAAAAAACTGAATTAGTATGAATAAAGAAAATGAAGTGACATATTCCTTCCTTCTGTGTTCTGTACATATGCATTTTAATACAGAACATCCATTACCTGCCATTTAGAGATGTAAAACATCTGTGTTTAACTGAAGGTGGACCACCTCATAAGGAGTAGTTGTCTGTATTGTACACAGGTGTATTTACACTGTAAATACTCTGTATTGCTTGGAATGATGTTACAGCACACAAGATGATTGACAATGCAGACATATTCATTAGAGATGAAAACAGTTTTAGCTTCTAAATGCAATGGCAAGGTGGCTATGGAAAATAAGATCTGCGCAGTTCAAAACCAAGTCAGCAGCATTTCGATTTTTTTTTAAAAAACCTTATACAATAAGGCATAAGATTAGATTAAACCAGTCACTCAGCATTGAAAAAAACAACTCAAGTATATTACAACATATTCGCTTTGCTTTTGTTTGAAATAAGTAATCTAGACCAAGTTATTAACCATTTCTGAAGCAGTCTTTATTTTCCTGTATTTGGCCAACTAGCTCTCAAATTGAGAAGAATCTCAACATCCTTTTGAGCTAATTTATAAACTCCAAGTTCATTTAGTGCTGCTGTTGCAGATGGCTGGTTTGGCTTTAATGTTTCATTTTCTGAAGCTGACTGCAGTACATCCTTCAGAAGTAAGGCAGAGCCAATATTCAGGTTCAGGATAATGCAGGCTTCTTTTATGCTAGAGGGGAAAGTTACATGGATTAATATGAGAAGCACCCATGAGAGACACTTAATTTTGTGCACACAGTGATTAACAAAAAAACCTCCACGGACTTCTGAAAAGGATCCGAAGTACTGAACTGGAAAGTACTGCTTAGTTCAAGGCAAATGGTATACAGTATACTTGTTCTCACTGTCTAAGTCTTTTCTGTTACATATGTGCATTTCATAAGCATCAATACTTTGCCTCTTAGTGCTCGGCCTGGCTTTCGCTGCTGAAGTTTTTCCACCATTATTAAAAATACAGAATAGAATTTACCACTTAATCTGTCTGGCTTTCCCCAACTACATTTTCCCCTAAGATAATTAGAAACTTCTTATTCAGTATATTTTAAGAGCACAGTTTGACAGTTGCTAGAATCTGAAAATTAGTATCATTAGGGAGCAAACAGATACCCTGTCTTTGTCACACTGTTTCTAGTCTAAATATGATACATAGCCATGTACCCATTATGCATTATTTTTTACAGTTCCTTTGTACATCTGTGTCCTCTTACTCTGGGAATAATACGTATGTATCAATTACCTTTACGAAAGTGATGTGCTAAAAAAAACCTTAAACCTGAAGATGCTATGTTCCACTTTATATATTGGCATTTTTAATCTTTGCCTTCAAGTGTTCAAAACTGAATGCCATGCTCTATATTGATTTTAAAATATTAAGATTTCTGCCCCAATTAACCTAGGAGTTTAGCACCGGACTCTTTACAAGACTAGGCTATTTAAAAAAGACTAACCACAAAGAAGGTAGCTTCTTTCCATCAATGAAAGCAACTAGACTGCTATGCAAGGCAATTCTGAGCGGGAACATAGCTTAAAGTAGTCTTTCTTCTAACAATAAATAAAGTTTATTGTGTTTTAACTATATCTTTGAGTATATTCTTTGGCCCCAGTTTTGGAAGTCTGTGCTACTTACATTCCTTCCATAAGTTAATTTATATAGACATCCTGACTGCACAAAATACTCCAGAACACATGCCACAGTCTGTTGCTCAGTATGTGCTACAGAATCAAAACTTTCCTAGTTGTAAAAATTGGAAGCATAAATGATCCACATATTTTAAGTGTGGATCAAAACTAACTGTGAAAAAAACCTTGGTGACACATAAAACACGTGTATTCATCTGGACATTCACTTCAGAAATACCAACAGATCAGAAGTTTGCCTACTTACTGTTTGAAGTAGTTCTCTGGCCTCTTGCAGTAGTGTGAAAATAAAGGGAACAGATTTCTACTCATGTCAAACTGGAGTTGTGCTGCTCCTCCTTCGTTGAAATGATTTGCCATAATTATCTGCAAACACAGAGGTGCATCTACTGTTTAAGCCAGTCACACCTATATTGTATTGCATAGGTCACATTTTGCTGATACCTACTTCCTGATATATGTATATATCCACTTTCTCTGCAAGCATTTGCCAGAAAATTTTGAACAGTGAGTGACAGAGCTGCTGTTCTAGTTGTAGCAAGCGGTCTCGTAGGGTCAACAACATTGGGCAAGCTGTGCTTGATAAAGACATTACTGCTTGCTCTGCTTGAGATGGTAAAGATAACCACCTGAAAGAAATTATCACATTGAAGTCATAGTGAAATTATTCATATTACAACTGAAGTTAAAATTATCCTTTAAAAAAAAAAAATCTTACCCATTTACAACGGTTCAGAGAGAGTTCGTTCTTTCCCATTTCAAATCTAAAAGTAATCACAGTCTAACGCTATGTTTAAACTTCATTTAATGTTAAACTCAAGCTTTAGTTATCAATCTCTGAACGTGCTGTTCAGAGAAATGCCATCTAATCTAGAAAATCATCGAGTAGTTGCATTCCTTTTATGAAGTACTTCAGAAACTGTACTCAGGAGCAAACATTCAAGAAGCCCTAAGAGTCTGCGAAGAGAGAAGTCATTACAGACCATTTCATATTAACTCTTTAATACTACTACGAAGAATATTATTCTTGTCCAAACTAGAGTGATCCAGAATTTTTCCTAGGGTTTTTAACATAACACGCCCACTAATCGTGGAACTACTTCAGAAAACATAGCATTAAAAGTCTTGAATAGGTGTTAAGAGAATTTTCCAAAACTTACTACCCTGTGCCATTCCTATTCAGGAAAATAATTTTGCCTATTAGCTGTTCCTGCCTTTACCTCAGTATTTTTAACAGGAAATAATGTTGTAATATGGGAAGAGAGTAAACTCACCTCTCTTTTTTGTACAGCTTTGCAGCATCTCTGACCTCCCTGAAGACATGATCTACCTGACGAGTCAGCATGTCATGTTTCAGGCGTTCCAGGAGGTTAATCATTTCATCAAAGACAGAACTCTCCATTGAAGCCAGCTGCCCTAGCTGTAGTTTACTGACAGCGTTACTTTCTGCACGAACCTCCAGTTCGGCCTGCTGTAGCTGCAAGAAGAACTAGAGAAACAAACCCAGATATGAATACTACGAAAAATAATCTTACCATTTGAACTTTTCATTGGTACTTTAATAGGCATGGTTCTAGAAAACACTCTCCTGACAAATTTAGAAACTTAAAATTTTAAGATTTTAAAACCACTTTATCTTTCCCCATAGTCCTAATTTAGTGAAAAACAAAACACGGTGGTTTATAATCCTAGTGATGGAACTGATACAGGTTTCAGATACAACAGTAGATAGGTAATGGGAATAGATCTAGAGAAATACTAAAAGGATATTTTTAAGATTGACACCAGAATGCTTAAAAAAAATCCCAACACCCTAATTTTGACCTTTTTAATGTTTGCAAAAGTAAACTAGTCTTTAATTGTAATTCCTTTTAGAAATAATCGTTCATTAAATCATAAGTTTGCTGGGCTGACAACAGCAAGAAAATGGATCGAGTTTAATGTGACATAGCGGTAACTAGTTGGTTTTGCTTTTAAGCAGATTGAGCCACTTAGGTCGACGCAGCTATACAACATGAAGGCTGCTGTCCTATCAAGTCAAGATTATCCTCTGCTAGAGCCACAGTTTCCTGCGAAGACAAAAAGAATTTGGAGGCTGCTCGTCTCACACACAATACCCGTTTCTACACACTTTACATGCAACAGGTTATTTTGACCTTTTATACCAATAACCATAGAAAAGCTGAAATGCTACAGAACAGCCACACTGCCACCAGGCTATGACATAGCAAAATAATTAATTCCCAATTCCCAGTTATCAGCAAGTGGCTTTTCTGAGCAACACCTACACCGTGTGGCAACGCAGATAGCCATGCTGAATCCATTTAACCTAACCTGCCATGGGAGTAGTTCAAGCATTGTGCATAGGCTGCTGCACACACTTCAACATCAATGCTGTTAACACTGGCTCAGAGATCTCCAAAATGAACTCACTATTTTTTTACAATACCAAACATGTAAAGCAGACTACTTTTTTGTCTGTTCAGATTATTCCATTCCTCAGGCTCTCTTTGCATTATAATCAATACAGCTTAGATCTCAAACAATAATCTGTCCTTATACATCTTTTATGAAATCTGAATTTACATCTCATTCTATTTTTTCAGTAATTCCTCTGAATACATTTAGATAAATACTGCTGAAAATAAAGTGTTTGTTATGAAAGAAACATCCAAAGTCCATTTGTAAAAATTTTTTTTAAGTAAAATAATCACTTACTACATTGTCAGCCCAGTCTGCCAACACTGTTGCTATATAGTTCACAGCATTAAGGATTGCACAGTATCGGAAGCCTAAGGAAGCTCTAGTCTCTTCCTTCATTACTTGAGTTAATCGTATCCTGAAATCATCAACTAACTCCTTCTGTAGGCCCAGGAACTGTAGTTTTCTGGAAGCTGTTGGAAGATTCTTATACCTGTCTGGAAAGACATTAATAAAATGTTTTTAGGCTTTGCAACACTGAATAAAAGCTTTTTAAAAAGAAACATTACAGTCATCTTACTACACAACCTTACACCTGTGAGGACATCATACAGTATTTAAAACAGCTAACATTAACAATTTCAGGGAAAATACTCAATGCAAAAGCTAAACATGTAAAAAAACGACATTCTTCCCCCTCCTGATTCCACTAGCATTTTCTATTCTAATACTTTAAGCAATATGTGATTATACCATACTATCCAATGTGGCCCCTAAAGCGTACTCAGAATAAGATAAAGCCATTGAATATGCAATTAAGTGTCTCCTGAAAACTTACCTGCTCTTATATTCTGTTCCAAGAAAGCAGACGTTACTTAATAGCTTCTAAATTGTCACAGATTCAAAAGGAATAGTAGGATTTTTTTATTACTGCATTGTAACAAATCATAGTCTCTAAGTATGAAGGAGTTTTAACATGCTAAATATCAAACGTATTTTTTTAATTATTTTTTTGTAAACATGTCACTAGCTCAAGATTATTCATGCCTGAGTTAGTGTCCAAAATACAAAACGAACAGGAAAGATTTTATTAAATTGCAAACATCACAACTTTGGAACATTATTTGGTGACTACTGCTGACAATGGATATTTAGTAAAGAAATCTGTTAGCTGAAGTTTTTTCGCTATTCATTACAAACAAGAGCAATGCCTGTAGATTAATAATTACCTGTTATAACTAACAACAGAGTCATAAAAGTTTCAGCACAGTCTGGGACTTTCATTTCATCTACATCAGTGATATCTTTGTATTGTGATATCCATGCAGCCTCTGATGAAAGCATTGAGTCCATTTTCTGGAGAGCAACTGAGATAAAACAATTTACAAATTTTGTGCAAGTTTTTAATTAAAAAAACAACAACAAAACCCCCTCTAAAATATATAAACATAAAAGCCTTATCTCTAGTAAGTTAAATTTTACATTTTCAAGGTTATAAAAACTACTGATGACTGGCTTCATACAAAACCAGCTTCAATATACTGCATTTGCAATGCTGTTAACTATGCCAGAGTTAATTGGGGTTTTTGTTTTGTTTAATAGTTGGCTTGCTCCTTTCCAATATACTTCCTCTTTATTTTTCACAAGTTAATACCCTTCCCCTATTTCAAGTTAAAGTCCATCCTTGCCTGCACACACATAGATGTAACATTTTTCTAAAAATAAGCCTACTGGATTCCCCACAGCTTAGGGGCAAGAGTCCTACAAACTACAGCAGCACTATTAGAGTCTAACCAATTCTTAGTCAAAATAATCACAGAGTATAAAAATACGTGTGTCTTATGTAGTAGCCCTGTCCAAGTGACTCATCCTGTTTGAGAAGGCTATTTGTGTAAGTATACACATACTTTCTGATTGTGCAATATAAAGGCCAACAAAATCCACTGGAAGTCTTACATTTTTTTTCCACTGTTAGCCACCTTTGGAAGCAGGATTCTTCTGAAAGAATATGCATGCAACTGGGAAAGCTGCTGAGATAACCATGAACGCTGTATAACTCTCTCTCAAATAGAAGTACCTCATCCACAAGGTGACAAAAGAGTGCATCATCATACAACAGGCATGGAATATCAGCAGCCAGCTTCTCCAAAATCAGCATTACTAGAGCACGAGAGAATTCAAGCTTTTGAAAGAAAACAGTGAATAAAATGTCAGAGATAGGAAGTATTAATATGTCCAAACATGTACATAACAAACTGCTACTAGACCGAGTTAAGTCTCATCACATACTTAGTGAAATCAGTGGAAGTAGGCTTACACAAATATCTATCAGAAGTTAACTTATGTGTTCATATATATATAAAACCATCCAAGTACTTACCCCAGCATTCACTGAAGATCCTGCCTTGTCCAGTATTGGCTGGATTTTGTCATCAAGGAACTTTGCATGATTTCCAATCCACATAAGTACTTGTGTTAAATACCACTCAGGCTTATTTAAAAAAGAAAAGAAAATATTAAATTAAATTAAATATTAAATCCAAATAACATCTATTCAAGTGCTACTAATATTTTAAGACAAACTTATAAAAATACTGGTCTCTTCCCCTGCCTTCTCTTGATCTCAGATCACACAAGTCTTTCACTGTGTTTTGCTTAACTTTGATTTTCATAAAAGCAGTATCAGAGAAGTATTTCTGGATTTGAATTGTCTTAAATGCACCAATTATTCTGTTTCTTCTCAAGCAAAAGCTCCATTTTTTATCTCCCCCCCCTCTACCGCCCTCTCACTCTTGAGGTCCTCTTTTCTGCTTCATATACTTCCTCCTGTTCTTCTGTGTGGTCTTTATTTCTTGGTACAGCAAAAAAGATGCACTCCTGAGAAAACTCTTCACAGTAGCTCCATTCTTACTGCCATTGTACCCAACCTCAACCCCACTTTGCCCCTGGAAGTGGGGAATCTATCACTTTCTCATTTAACATTTTAATGCCTTTAAGCTTTTTCAGTTTCCACACCTAAAAATATGGGCTGTAGTTTTTGATGAACACTTCTTTCAATGTTAGTGCAAGCAGAAGTAGTTCCTGTCCTCCTCACTCCAAATAGCCAAAAGAACCTTCTGTTGAACTGCAATCACATTCTCCACACTTTGCATGTCTGTTTCTCATTTCTATATTAATTTTCACCTGGCTACTGAATTTCATCACATTTGCTTTGGTTTTTTTTGACACTGCCTCCCCAACTTGCCAAGATCATTGTGAACTCCAAGCCTGTCCTCCGAAATACTTGTAATCCCTTCCAGGTTGCTGTCTTTCAAATATTTTACATGGGTATTTTCTTTATTCCATTACCCAAGTTACTATAAAAAAACCAAACCAAAACAAAAAAATCCAACCCAAATTTGAGCAAGGACCTGTTGGAATATCTTTCTGATCTGACACTAGATTACCTGTAAACGTTTCTTCACAAGTTTTTCAGAAAAAAGTTGTTCACCTATTGTTGTTCAAAAATTTCATCTCTTGAACATAATTTTCCTGTCTGATTATGAAATAATTTTGTTCGTGTCTAAAAAAACCTCTTCCCCACTAATATACATAACGTTATTTTAAAAGGCACTGTAGTAGCACCTGTCAAGATTGCAAATATATTTACAGTTACCCAATTGTTGACACAACCACACAGACTTGTGCAACTAAACTGTTACCAAACAGCTCTCAAACTCTGCTCCAGATACATTACAGCCGCATTAACACATTGAAACCTTTTCCAGTGATAATTCTCAGATAAAAAAAATCCTCAGTCTTTGAAGATAATTCACACAAAAAGTGAATCAGGTTCCAGCTGGTAAACTGGACTTCTCTTGTTGTATGTCAGTTAAAAACTTTAACCCAGAAAACTAATTATATAACAGTGCCCTTAGACTAATCACATTTTATATACTAACAGCAAAACCCAACATTTTCAGTTACAATGGTACACAGTGCCAAAAATCAAAGTCAGAGCTCTGTACAGTCTTTGAGCTCAAGCAATAAGGAACAGTGCAAAACCATTTGCAAGGAGACAGAGGAAATTAATCAAAACTTCTGAAATGATGGGAGTCAGTCTAAGACTGCAGTAATGCTTTATAAAGGATCTGAGCAAGGGAGAAATGTTGCCTGGCCCAGAGAAAATGCTTGTGCCTCTGAAAGGTCTCCAAGTGCTATCTTGATATCTGTCCACACTTAGGTAGGCACAAGAACTGCACAGTTTTGAAAAATCTTAAATTTCAGACAGAAAAGTGTTAAAGCTATACAATTTAAATACAGCAATCTATCTGTTGCTTTAAAAAGCAATTAAAAAAAAAAATCAAACTGCTTTCTCTCATACCTTGTTTAAAACATTGGTTTGTTTATTTCCAGTGAAATGATACTTGAATCTTTTCTGAAGAGGATTCAGCATGATCTGTATCGGAAGGATAATGGGTGGTGATGGGGGTAAAGAGTACTTTTCTGGCAATTGTTTAGGTTTAGTTAACAGTTCATCTCTAAGTTTGATAGTTAAGGATGAATTTAAGTGTTGAATTCTCCCAACATCATCATTTCAATAGAATGGGTTTATAAAAATGAACATTTCTTAGTTCTACCTCATTGGCTGAAGGCAGTATTATGCAATCAATACAATTCCTCAAATATGAGGGATACTCAAAATATTTCAGTTTATAAAATATTTAATACAACTCAGGCTGCTAAGGATTATTTATTCAATGACAATACAACTCACTTAAGTCAGTTTGATTTAGGAAACTCAGTATAAGTAAAAAAAGAACACAGAAAACCACCATTATCAGTACCAAACACAGCGGCTGTCCAAGAGACACACTTATTCACATTTGTTAAAGGAGGACAAAAGACTCATGAGATTAATAAATGCAATAAATACATGATTTCCCATTTTCATGTAATTGATTTAAGTGATCCAGTCTGCCAGACCAAAATTGTTACCAACTCAGGGTTGTGCAGAGTGACTTTTAACTTCCCACTCCAACTGTGATAAACAAACAAACCAACCAACCCAAAACCCAAACGAACAAAAAAGGTGGCCACAATCACTCCAGGAAGGATTGCTTGATTAAGGTTTAGCTGTGCTTTATTTAATTCACAAAAAAATGGAACAGGATGAGCAATAGTGCCTTCTGATTAACCTCAAAGGCAGGCTACTATCACTGCACAATGAAAATCCTTCTGTTGTCTCGGGAGGAGACTGCGAAAAGGGGAGACAAGTATCTTTAGCTTTCCCTCTTTTCCTTCTGGGATGGGACATATTAAAATGATTAAGGCTGTTTTCAAATAAGGCTATGAAAAGAAAAGCATTAACTGTGTAAAATAAAACATACGCCACCATTTTTTTATTAACATTGATAATCTTGCTGAAGTATATAAGGCCTGATGCTCATGAAAGCTGAACTGTCAGCTACCATGAAATCATCAGATCTGATTACTTGGGAGTTACAAAGTTGCTACTGCCAAAAGGACAACTTTGGCACCTGGCATTTTCTAAACAAAAAAAAATACATTCTAACATTAATACAAAGTAACATAAATTCAATTATCTTCTGTCTTTAGGGAGAACAAAATTTTAAATAATTCTCCTTGAGCATGTGCATCTCTGACATTTATTATTCTTACTAAAATACACCACAACTATTTAAAAGGATACGAGGTTTGCAATTTCAGAAGCTGAGAAAACAACATCTCCAAATTGTTGTATACGTCAGGAGCACTGGCTGGCGCAGCAAGGCCAAGTGCCTGAGACTGTGGTGGCCCCACAAATGGCCAGCGGAGCTGGGTTAGTACCTCTTCAAAGTCACTGCAAGGCAAAACAAGCACTGTAACACAAACTTAACAGTACAACACAAAGACGAGGGAGTGACAGCACATCCCTTACCTCGACAATTTGTCCTTAAGAATTTTATGCCAGAATTTAACAGTGGATCTCACAAAAGCAAGAAGATGAGAACAAGATGACTCCTGAAGTTTAATATCCAGTTCTGCCATGAATGCTAGAGTACTGGCTGCCTCTGGAACATTGTTGGTCATCAGATATTGCTGAATTCTATCACTGTAGAGCACAAGAAAAGTCAAGGCCAAAAATTCATTAAAGATAACAGAAAAGAATCACTTGTGTATTGAAAAATGAAGATAAAACTTTCTCAAATCTAAAGTGTTTTAATGATGGGACAAACTAGGTTATCAGTCTCAGAACATGTATGTAGTACTCAGAAACTTTACCTTAACTCTTCTATTCGTGAAATCCATTTAAGATAGGCCAGGTGTCGTTCAATCTCTTCTACTTGACTAATCAGTACATCGAGATCCTCCATCCATGGCTGAGCTTTCAGTAAGTGGCTATTGATTGAATCAGATAGAAGAGTTTCTTCCTCTAGAAGCCTACTCAGAGACTTTTTAGAGTCTTCTGCATTCTTTAAGGCATTCTGAATTCTTTTAGGGACTTCTGATGAAACTGTAAGTACCTACATTCACAGAGAAGTATTAAGTCTGACATAAGAACACTGCATTATGTAGACTAGTATCATTTAAGATATTAATACATTGCTTTAATTTAGTTTAAAATACTTAGTCATATAACATATTCAGAAGAAAAAAAAAAAAACAACTTACCTGTTCTTCTAACTGCTTTTTATTTTCAGATAGCTTATCAATAAGGTTGTCTAGCTTCCTCAGAGAATCATAGTCATTTCCAACTTCTCTTTCCACAAATTCAGAAACATAGTACGGGATATCACAATGATCTAGATCTTTAGTGACTTCTTTCTTTCCAACAGCAACGGTTGCCATGTTTTCTTTCTCTGCAATACTGATTATACAGTTTCTAATTAGTCACCGCTAACACAGCGGAACTATTGATCTATTGAAGACACAAAACTGTGAAAAGCTGGGCAGTTCAATTTAAATTGAAACTTAAATAAGACATTCAAGAAATATACTGCTTTAAGTGAGACAATTTACTGGCCTCAGTCTTAGCTGAGATATGATAAAATCTTGCTTACATATCCAACTGGTCATTTATCATACATTAATTACTGAAGAGAAATATGCCTTTTTAATTTCTTCCTTCCTCAACAGTGTGAATTTTATTAAAAATAGTTCAATATTTACATAGTTTCTACATATGTAATACAGAAAACCTAATGAAAAATACTGGAAAAATACTTCCGTAAAATACAAAGGAAGATGACAATGTTCCGCTTTACCTTTTCATACAGTTTAGGATGTTCCAGAGATATCAACTGATGACTGATGTATTACTGGCAAAGTATCCACTCAGGTCTTGCAATGATTTGTGAAGCAAATGCACCACTGAAATATTTATAAGAAAACCCACACAGTGTTAACAGAAGAGGCACTTGCTGATCCACACATTTGGCAGCATCCAGAGAAAACCAGACCTGAAATTGAGAGGATGATCATGTACGGTGAAACAAAAAAAAAAAAGGCAACAATGATGAGCATTTGGCTAGTTCAATTCTCAACTTTTTACTGTCACTTTCAAAACAGTATTTAAAAATGAAATTTATACACTTGCACTTTATCTGCCACAAGCTTTAATTAAGCGAAAAAGCCTATTAAACAGACAACAGGAAAGAGCGAGAAACGGTGCAGCTGATAAGCCAAAGCTGGAGAAGCATTAGAGAGCACCAGGAGGAGCAAACTGGGAGACCAAGGGTGTTGCTGAGGAAGAAGCGAATAAAGAAAAGAGAGTAATAAAAAGCACCGTGCTGTTGGCAGCAAGGGAAACCAACAACGCCGCAGTAAGACTGCTAACCAAGGGGTGCTCTCCTCGGGACCAGGACGCGGGCGCAGAGAGGAGCAGGACACCGGGCAGCATCCTCCGACCACCTCCCCGCTCAAGCGGGCAGCGGCTCTGCACCCACCTTCGCCTGAGGGCCGGCCCGTTTCAGGGAGCGTCAGAAGGCTCTGCGGGCCCCGGGGAGCCTCTGGGCGAGGGCCCCTGCCGCCCCCCGCCCCGCAGAGCCCCTCGGCGGGCCCTTCTTCCCCCACACCGGGCTCTGCCCCCGCGGCGGCGCGTTCCTTCGCAGGCCGGACGGCGCCCAGCGGGCGCGGGCAGCGCGGCTCGGC